CAATTGGAGGAAACATGTGCAGGAGGGCATAGGGATCAAGCTGCTTAACCCCCCCTCTTCCCCTGCCACTACTTTCCCCACTACAGTAGTGGGGGACAAGGAATTTAAGATGACCCTCCAATAATTAGATTCTATACATGGAAAATTGTAACAAACCTATACATTTTCAATGTATAGAACCTAATTACTAGAGATTCATCTTACATTCCAAGGTATCTTGGATTCCGGTAAATACTAAACATAAAGGCTGGTCTGAAACTGCATACCGCTCCAGAGTCGAGGTACCCAGGTCAGGGCTATAAGCAAGGACCTGCATGCAGGTAGGTATCCCAAACCTAAATCCTTGTAAAGTAGGTACCTATAGCTCTCCAAGAACTGAGCACATATTGCGCTGACAGAACCTGCCATGGCATCTTCCTCAGAAGTCCACTTAATGGGGAGTCTGGAACACCATTTCCAAGTTTCTGGCTCCTGGGCAGTACAATTTCCAAGAATCCTTAGCAGCCCAAAGAGCAGGCCTAAGCTGTTTGGGGAGATCTGGAAACTTTTGGAAACCGTTCAAATTTTTAATTTTTTTCCATTCTGTTTTGGGGGAGAAAGAGATGGCTGGAAATTCTGAAATGTCAAGTAGAATGGGAATTCCAGTTTCTGGTCAGCTCTTGCATTGACCGCAAAGGTAACAATAATGTGTCTCATGCAGCAATGGATGGGTAAAACCACCACTGAATATAAAAGCCAGCATAACTCATGCTAAGACACAAGTTTAATTCTCTTAGTATTCAGGATTTCAGTACTGGATGAAAAAAGCAGTGCTTCTTGATTTAGAGGAACAGAGGTATGAAACAGGCTGAATCATATAAGTTTAAAGTAATGTTTCAGAAGTTTAGGACAACCTGCAACCATGCGACTATCACCTCTCAAGCTAAGTAGGTTTCAACCTACCAAGCACTTGGAGAGCATCAGGTATAATGATCCCACACAAATCTCCCAAATGAAAAAACAAAACAGTAATCCTTAACTGGACCATGAAAAAAAATAAAAATCACAGAACACTTTATCACTTTTATTAGCTCTGGTAGCCTGGTCAAATTCAAGTTGGAGAAACTTTCCTCCTCCTCCCAAATTTATCCCTGCTGTTTCAAGGATATGTTATTAGTCAGCACTTCCCATCCTAAATGACTCTAATGTTGCCGTGCAACATTAAATAGCTGCTGTATCTAGGTTGACATAGGTAAATGGGTTCATATCTACATATACAACAGGATAGAATGATTTAAGTCAGTTAAACCAGATTTATGCCATTAACTTGACATTAAAATTATAAATGCTGGTGGATATATTTTTGTGAGTTTTCTTTTCCCCTTGGGATAGGATAGCTTATTTACATTTTAAGATACCAGTATTTTAAAATCAAAAGTTACTTTGGACTTTGATCACATTATTGAAGAAATCACATCTTTCCAAAAACAACAAAAAACCTACATGCCAAGTTTTTCCAAAAATAGGAGCTCAGAATTGCACTCCTCAACCATTTGCAGCCACTCATGTGAAAGCTTTCTTATAATTCCCTGTGCCACATGGAAGCATAAGTGCCACCAACATCAATCTGAAAACAGTGAAAGAACCATACCGCTGGCCAAAGCATTTAATCTTTCCTGACTTGTACAATTTCAATAAGATGGAAAGTGGTGTTGTTTGCACCTACAGATTGGGGTATCTGCTTATCAATTTCTGTTCATGCTGTTCTGATGGTAAGAATGTTAATGAGGCTGTAGAGAACTCTTCTTCAGATGAGATAAGAATAGCAAGGACTCCCATGCTTAAGAAAATGCACTTAAGTAAAATCTGAAAATCCTACTAACAATTAGGACACTAAAGGAACGGGCATAAAACATTCACCTTGGCAAGGTAAGAGCATAAAACTGTGAGTTAAGGAATAGCAACAAGTAAGTAAAAGTCTAGATTAAAAGCAACTTTTTAGAATCATGACATTCATCTCAATACACAGTTCAACATATTATAATGAAGGTGACATGTTGAAACCCTCAGCTTTTCCCTCAACTTTCTGAAATGCTGTCTTTGGTAGGTTGAAGTTAACCAAACAGGTTTCCAGCCTGGAGGCTAATTTTTTCCTCCAGGTTTATAGAAATCCTTTCAGCCATTTTTGGATTCTGGAAGCAGGAAATGAATCTCTTTCAAAAGAAATAAATTTATACATGGGCGCAATAAAAGGTAGATGTTAATAAAAATACTATACAGCGAAAAAAGTTTGAATATAAAACTAATCAGTTAAAAAGCGGGTTGAACATAAAGTAAAAAAGGCTTCCTGTTTTAGGCTCCAAAAAAATTCTTTGTAATTGCAGAGTACCTCAGGAAACACAATCCTGTGGGATGGCAAAGATCAGGGGTTTTAAACCTTTTTTAGGAAGTGTAACCCCAGAGGCCAGACACAGAGCGGAGGGAGGGGAGGATGGAGGAGGTGGCAGCCACATGTGGAGCAGGGCAGAAGGAGAGGGCTTGCACCCGCCACCCATTGGCCCGTGCCGCTGTGCCCTCCTTTCCCACATGCAGCTCCGCAGACTGCTGACGGGCCTCACACCCAGTCAGTCACGCGCTGTCAGTAGCCCGTGGAGCTGTATGTGCAACCAGCCGTGTGAAAGCAACACACGGCAGTGGCACAGGACAGAGGGTGGTGGGGGGAGCTGCCGTGTGCAAACGCCCCTGTCCCCCGTGCCTGGGGAGATGGGGGGCAGCTATGCAGGCTGCAGAGGAGTGCCACTGCCCTTGCCCCAACTCCCCAGCCCTGCTCGTCGGAGCCAACGATGCGGGGTGGTGGGTGGCGGCGTTCTGTCCCTGGCCGCCCACAAGTACCCCCCAGGGCCTTTCCAAGTACCCCCGGGCGTACACGTACCCCCATTTGACAACCCCTGGCATATATCATTATGTAGATGCCTACAGATCAGATAACTGCACAGCTAGATTTCTCCTTAAATGAAAGAAATGGAGAGAACTAAGAGCAGAGCCCTCCAAAAAAAAAAAGGAGAGATATATGTTTTCTAGCTCTTCTGAAATGTGAGCCCAACTCATTGCTATCTAGTACTTGTGATAGACCAAGAATAGAAAAGTTATATGTGCAATTTTCAAAGATGGAGGAAAAAAAGTTTTCATAATAACATTGGTTCTTGGGGAAAGGCATATAACCCTACGTATCTGGAGTCTAATTAAAAACTTACGTCAGTGGAAGAAAATGGGAGGTTGCTGAATTCCCACCTCCTTTTACACTCAATATAGGGGACGAAGTGGGCCCACATTAGTCACTGTCTGCTACAAGCTGTTATTCAGGACCCCTGGCATCAGACTGTTTAGGCTGGACAATATGCAGTAGAGGAGGCAGCTGTTGAATGTATTTTTATCCTCAGTGTTCAATGAGCAAGCTTGTTCCATTTGCTGTACACCATCCAAATCATGTACTTAGATAGTTCTACATTTTCATCTCACATACTACAAGATATTTACCAAATCAAAACTTGTGATCTCAATTAAAAATTCAGGATTTACCTTGGTAACTGCAAACAGAATAAAGCCAAAAATAAAAAGGTCTGTGTATTTGTGCCTTGCTCACTGTGTACCATGAGGCAAAAAATAAGATGCAACAATATATTTTGAGACATTATGTATATACAAAAAGGAGCAAAGTTACAGACCTATAATACACCTAAATATTGACACATTCTGATTTTGGTGTTTACTTCTGGCATATGGACTTTTGTAAGCAATTCCCATAATGTGAAACTGCTTATTCTAATATGCAAGATGTACCCTCAGCAAGGCAAGGACGCCTGCCTCATTTGATACATGCATGAATGGACCATACAGAAGGAAACAAGAATTTACATGGAACACAGTCTCACTGCATAAACACAGCTGGATCTTTATTTTCCCTGTCCTGTATGCACAAGCAAATAAAGTATAAGGAGTCAAACAAGCTTGTTGTGTGTTAAGCCAGTGCAGATAGGTAAAGGCCAGCTTTTAAATTCTTGTAGCTTAATCAAACCCTAAATGGATTTTTTCCAAGTACATATGCAATCTAGCGACTATGTCTCCCCAAACTTGAGGTACCAGAGAACTTCAGTTATGCAGAAGTAAATTATCTGGAATGTTAATTAATAGGAAGTCCTCTGACTTCCCCCACCTTGACTTGCACAGAGTGGCTGGCTCCAATAGTTTGCCTAATGGTGAGCTGTCAGGGAGCCCTGTGTACAGGGACCTACCTAAATCGTGGTGAGACAAAAGGTTTTTAGTGGACCACTCACTAAGTTCATTTTTGTTTGGGGTTTTGTTTTGTTTGGGGGGGGGGGTTGGGGGGGGGTTCTGTTCAAAATTATGGGAAATGCCATTTTTGTGGTGATCATGGAAACTGCTGGTTTTTAAGTTTCCGCAAAAATCACGAAACTGATTTAAGTAGTTCCCTACCTATGCTGCCACAACTACTTTAGCAGTTCTGGGGCTCTCTAAGGCTGCTCAAGCAGTGGCAGAGATTCCTGGAAAAACTGAATATCCCAAATCATGGCAATGTTAATTATTCCAGATAACTGACCTCTATTGTCCTTGGAGCCAAGTGTAGTTTCTCTTGTTAAATGTAATACCAAAATGCTGATGGCCTGCATCTCTCCATACTTATTTCAACTGCTCTGTAAAAAAGAACCCTCTTTTGCAGCAGACGAGATGTGGGATGTTTCAGTTGAAGATGGAAGTTTCACAGTTATTAAAAAAAAATAAAACAGCTTTTTGGAAGAGAAACTTGGCATGTGTAGGCAACCTTAAGTGTAGGGATTACACATGGCACCAAGTACAAATCTATCCAGAAGATATTCTATGAGACAGTTAATATGAATGTACATATCTGAATAAAGACAGGACTACTAGGAAATTCTGAAGTTAGTCAGACAGCTTCCATATGCATAAAGAGTTACTATATTGAATAAAATAAAGATTCTCACCAAAATGTATTATTTCATTCACCAGATGTCTGTTTCAACAAGGATTTTCTAGGTACACCTAAAAGAAAAAAACAAACAAACACATTTAGCAACATTGCACACTGTGGGTTTTTTATGTGCCCTCAGGTTATTCTACCATATATTTGCAGCCTGCCTCTCTCTACACACCCCATCTCCACAGTTTTGAAAAGGATAGGACTAGTCCAAGCACAGAATTAAGGAGCCAATTGCCAATGAATTGTGTTGTCACTGCTACATCAATTCATTCCTGAGCAAAAAGGGACAAGATGTACTTACTCCACTTGGTCTCCTGTAGATTATCACAAGGCCTGAAAACTGAACAGCATCAAGATGGAGCCTCTCCTTAAGGTGGGAGACTAAAATAGGCAATTCATGAAATATACCAGCTTCCATTTTTTTAAAAGTTTGGTTTCTAATCATCATGCTTCTGCAAGAACAGTTCCAAACAAGCTGATACAGCACTGTAAGCACGCAAGTGGAAAACCCCAAAGTCTCTGATGCTTACACCTGTCTCAGACAGTGGCAATGAAATCTACCAAACTACTGTCTTTCAATGCTACTGTTCAGAACTCTGTGGGGTAGCAATGAAACAGACAAGAATCAGGCCATTTTCACTTTTAGACACTGCTTGCCAAGACTACAGTAGCAGCTGCAGCAGGCACTGGAGTAACTATTCCCCACCAGGGGCCTCAGAAGGGGTGAAGAACTATCTTCCTTGTATTTGACCCCAAGCAGTCAGGAAGCTTGGATACAGCACTGATGAGAAAAAAGTTCCTCTTCTCTTCCTACAGTCACAGAAGACTTCACAACTTATCTGACCCCTGCCAACCAGAAAATATCACTACAGAAAGAACCCTAGCGCTTTCCACTGCAAAATAAGTAGAGAAAAATAACAGAGGCAGGAAAGAAAGCCCTCCCATTAAGGTTCTTACCAGGATATTAGCATGTGGCACATGCATGGCTCCCAATGATTAGCTGTCCTATTTTAATACTTTCCCGACATCAATCCAAAGTTTAAGTTCTAATCATCATGAGTTCAGAATCTACACAGAGTATATCTGGGTCTCGCATATCAGCATGCCTTATTTTTTTTCCAGTCCCTATCAAGAAATTTGTTTCAGCTACTTTAGGTGAGGAGAAAGTTTACTGGGTAACTGAAACACAAGACCTGCAGCATCAAAAGCTAGGAATGCAGTTAAGAGTGAATACGTAACAGCAGTCTGCCAATAGTATTGTGGAGAAGCAATACTGCAGTTAAAAGCAGCATGGCTGCTGCTTAAAACCTAAATGTGCAAGCTTCTCTAAAACCTACATACAAAGCAGCACCAGTCTGGAAACAAAAGTGACACTCTGAAGTCAGGGTGGTGGGACGCAGTACAGATTTGGGATCAGTTGGCCAAAAGGTTTCCTTCCCTCACAAAATAACCTGCTCTTAAAATTATGATCTTTCTCCTCTTTTTTTGCAAGCAAAGAATGAAGATAGTAAGAAGCATCCAAACAAAGTTTATGTCACTGGACTGGCTCTACTGTGATTATGAATCTAGGATCAAAGCCCAGCTCTAGAAGCATATTAATAAAAACACTGGATGTGTGTTGGTCCTGTGGTTAACGTTTCTGGAACACTGCAGAATGGCACTGATCCCACCTAAGATCAAGACTGACACCAATGTACACAGGTGCCAACTAAAAGCAGGCTTATTTACAAACATGCACAAACTGGCTTTGTTAGCAAGTAGCTTGCCACACAAAAAGGCAAATGTCAGAAGACAGAGACACCCTTAGAAAAAAACTGTTACAAGACTGAGACCTACCCCCTTACCACCATATAACTTTAACTTTGTTTGTCCTTACAGAAGTGCCAAGGAAAAAAAATGACAACACAGTACACATCCCTGACAGAATGCAACATTCTCTCTACTTTTCAGTTTTGATGTGCTCATCAAAACTGAAAAGCACAATCTAGAATATGCGTTGGGCAGCATCATCTCTCTTGAGAGCGCTTGCTGTTCATAGCTGGAGATCACATTCCAGCAAGCAGTTTAGGAAGGCATCAACCCATAATCAAAGCAGGACTGACCATTCTGTATGGGAATCACAACTCCACATTTTTTGGTTTCCAACATTTGTGTTTCCCAAATTAAACTCGTGTTCTTGTGGGACGAGGAGCAATTTGCCATCTCATGTTCTACTGAAGACAATGCCTGGCTCCATTTTGCCTAACACTGTCACTCTTCCACTTGTTAAACAGACAAAGGAGTACCTTCCTGCTGTCTGACATGCTGCCCATCACCTATAGAACTTCCTTGTTCTCTTCAACTCTTTTTTACCATGACACCTATGAAAAAGAACTTGACAATGCTCGGATAGCATAATGAAGCTACTGCCTATCACCCTTGTTTCTGTCTCCACTATTGCATTGGGCTCCCTGCTCTTTTCTCCTACTTAAGACTGCATTGTATGTAGAACAGGACACGATTCTGCAACTTGGCACCTAGGCATCACAGCAGTAACAGAATCAACTCAGCTCAAGGCCAGGAACCTTAACTTAGTGGTAACAAAAGGGTTTAGCTTCCATTTGTTCTTGGGGTTTGTTTTTTGGGGGGGAGGGGAGTTTGTGGTGGGAAGGGTTGGGGTTGTTTTTAATGCGATTACTTACTGTAACATGTTAGTTACAGGTGGGCAGCCTCAAAAAATGGCAAATGTGCAATCCAAAGTTTATGCAGAAATACCCCTTCTCTTATGCAGAGTTGTACCTTACCTCCAAGGAAAGAGCGATTTACGAAAGTAACTTTACATGAAGACTCATTTCCATTGCATGGGATCACTTTCCTATGATCTTAAACAATGGGAAAGAAGAAACCATTTCACTAAAGGAGACAAGCCTTAATGGTAGTTTGTTTTTACCTGTGGTTGCAAAGTAAAGTTTTATTGACTCAGCAAAGCGGTATATAGTCTACATTAGTCTTCTACGTGGTGAAGTATGCCACATAGTCATTTTTAGGCTTTCATTCGGAACCTGATAAAAAAAAAAGCTCAGGGACTACCCTAAACATATTTGCAGGGAGACTTTTTGTAGCTTAACACCATCACTACAGCCAGCAGAGAGGCTACAAGACAACTTTATTTTCAGGCCACGTCACTTGGTTGGCCCAGTGAGGCACACATGATCGAGTTTATTATTTCAATGATTTTCTTTACACAGTTTGTGGAACTTGGTTTACACTTTTTTTTTTTGGTCCGTTTCCTGCAAAGCCTGACTGTGGAGGCCAAAAGCTTACTCTTAAGGGGAACGCTGTAGTAAGCTCTGCCTAAGTACTGCACGTTTGCTGTATCCCAAAACAACTGTGAGCTTAAAAAAAAAAAAAAAAGACACAAAAGCAGCGAGAAAGAAATTCAAGGAGGGTTACGGCAGAACAGATTTTTCAGGGGCAACTTCAGAAGTGAAGCAGATACAGGACAGTGCTTCCACAGGGAGCAGGATCTGACAGTCTCATTGTAAAGGAGGCACAAGATGGGGCAGGGGGGAGGTCAGCTGCAAAGGAGCAGAGAGGGCAGAGGCTAACGCAGACACACCACAGGGCAGCGCAGGCCACAGGCCACTCCTGAGCCACAGCCTTCAGTGGCAACTACCAGGAGGTGAGGACGTGGAGGCTGCTGCCACGTTTCCCTAGACCTGCAAACGTGGACAGCATCCCCCCCAACCCCTCCCACGGGCAGGCCGCTGTGGCACCCACTCCCCGGTCCAGCTGCTGCAGAGCCAGGCCTGCCAGATGCCCCTTGCCCCCCACGGCGTGGCAGAGGCAGGGACCCCCACAAGCAAGGGGAGGAGGTGCCCGGCCTCGAGCCACCTCTGGGCACCACTGCCA